CCACCCACCGCCAACTCTTGGGCTACTCTTTTACCAACGATTGACCGACACATTATAACGCCCCCACGGCTGAAAGGGCAAGTATGTTTGGTGTGACGGGGATTCGAACCCGCGATCCTCAGATTGTGAGTCGAGTGCCGTGACCACCTGGCCATGCCGGGCCAGAAAGAGTATTAACTCATTCAAACAAATAATGATTTCTTACAAATAATTAACACGCTTTCTTGTAGATGTTTATTATATCAATCGAATATGATATTTTTAAGAACATCTCACAGTAGTTCAACTACATGTATTTTCACATATAACTACGTTATTTAACTTAAGAGTTAACACAGTTTGGCTCAATTTGCTCTTTACTGGTTCGCTTTAGATAATTTAGTTTGCGTGTTCCTAGTCAAGGAAAACTGCTTGTATTTTGAGTTACTATGTTTTGAGTTTTGGCAAAATATCGAGTTGGCAACCTGTCTCCGAGGAATTCTCTTGTGCGCGTGACCTACTTGTGTTTCTCCTTTTGATATTTTGGTTATTAAGCTCACCTTGACAACTGGCCGAGACTCACTACGCCTGTGAAGAATGTTTCACTGCCTTACAACTTGTCTCTTATAAACTAAATTTATATGTGTTTGCATATGTGTGTGAGAGAAAGAAGGAAAATTTATTCTAGATTCTATAATATTGAAGAAGCTATATTATCAGCGAATACATTTTACTACACAACTAAAAGACAGGATCATTTTCTACTTAAAATTTGGAAAAAAAAAGTTGGTCAAAGCAACAACAACAGGAAAACAGGTATATAATATATATATGGATCATGTGACACTACAAGCTAGGTTCGTAAAGAAATCTGCTCACCATAGAATTTGTTACACAACGTATGCTCATGTACTTGGAAATAGTTACTAAGACAAATGAGATTATGATTTAGTGGAGCGACTGTAGTGCTATAGTTCTTTTTTTTATAGTTTTTTTTTGTTGTTGCCGTTATTAGCTAAAACAGCTCTTCTGCTTTTAGCCCCCTTTCCGGATTCTAGCCAAGTTTAGGTTCGCCTGTTCCTAGCAAAGTTATCATGGTTACAAATCGCGTATCTCACAGGTTTATTAATGGTCTTTGTTCTCAAGAAAACTTAACAGGGGTTCAACTATTTAGCTTTAACACCATGTTTTAGATGAAAGAGTAAACTAACATGAAATGTCAGTTGAATGTATTACTATCATTTTAGTGTTAAGGGCTAAGATGCTAAGGTGAGAAAGTTTTTTAGGCCTTTTGCGTGCAGATAAACACCAGGTTTGATGGCAGCTGTTTTTATGGCATTCCTATTAGTCACTTTATTTAAGGTTTCATACAAGAAGTATGTAAAAATAACAGAAAAAATTAAATATGAAACGCTAAACATTTATTGCTTGATATAAGCAAATTAAGAAACATTCCACAAAGATAATTTGGGATCCGCTGTGATATCTCCTGCAAAATATCAATATCTTTATCACTTCGTCAAGTTAGGTATGTTACACTTTAACAAAATCAACATTTTGTATTCAACACCTAGATGGTTCCTGAATAAATTATATTTCGTTGTTATCAGACAGTTTTACTTTCTTTTAATGCGCTTTCTAAGCACTTTTATTATTCTCTATTTTAAGTATTTCAACAAAGCACAGTATTATTTTTCGGTAATGTCAGATGCAATATTGCACATCGTGAAATGTAAGGTAAGGTTCTTTCAGACAAGCGCGACTTATCTGTACCATATGCATCTTTCCTTTGACTCATTAACACTCTGTATATTATTCTGTTTGTATTCCCGTACCGTATGCATCTTTTCCTAGACTCAGTAACACTATATATATTATTCTGTTTCTTTCAGACAAGCGCGACTTATCTGTACCGTATGCATCTTTCCTTAGACTCATTAAGGCATTAACACTCTGTATATGATCCTGTTTCTTTCAGATATGCACTACTTAAAGGTGTGTGGATAATATTATTGGGATATTCTTATAATTAGTTAAACAAAAACTAATAATATGCATAGTTCTTATCTTTTGAGAATTACCGATAATTTTTTTCGAAACAATCGCTCCTTGCAGAAACTTAAGTTACATGTTATGCGTCTATAACATAGTTTTTCTAGCTATTATGTGCTTAGTTTTAAAAAACTCACATTTTCCTTTCTGAACCTCATAACTGTTATATGTTTCTTCAAAAATATTACTGTTAAACATAGAGAAATTGAAAAAACAACAAACACTTTGACGCTTTTTCCTAAACTTATGCAGACATTTTGGTTAGAGGATATAATTTTCCTAAATTA